CAGAGACACACTCACACACATTTTTCGTTTTTCTAGTTTTGTTGCATTTTTATTAATTTCGTTCATTGCTGCAGTTTTGTTTGTTTTCTGACTGTTGCTTTACGCACACACACGCACAATTACAGGCACATATACATAAACATGTTTATATACATGCACATAAAAATAAATATTTGGTAGATATTTCGTATTTTTGCCCTTCCGCCAGTCGAATTTGGAATAAACATTTGTCAGTCAACCTAGTGGAGGGAGACATCGGGGGTGGGGAATCTAGTATAATATCTCTCTCGTTCGATGCACCTAACCAAATGAATATAAAATCTATTTGTTACATTTTCATATCCTAAGCTAACTTCACGTTTCTTAAATAATAAATCATTTGATTATTTGCAGTATATATAAACAGCATTCATTGTGAGTACAGTAAGAAAGCTGTAACAACGGACAGATATTTTCAAAATTTTTTAGGTTCCAATTTTTGCCTTTTCCGAGAAATATTCAAAAACTTAATTCTGTACGAAAATTATTCGTGGAGCGAATAAGCCATTTTATAATAGAGAATATGCAAAAATTGAATTTCAGAATAATAGAAAATACTCAAAAATTGAATTTCAGAATAAAATTGCAGCTTACTTACAATAGCATGCAAAAAAAAGTATGTAGAAATTTGGAAAAATTATATTTATTTAGATATTACATAAGATAATGAAAAGCTGCTGGCTTTCAAGTCGGACGTCTGTCCGTGGTTTCTAATTTTCGCATCCATTAGCACCGAATTTTCGAAATGCGTTTTATGGCTAGCCCGTGTTCGGGTTCGAGTTCGGGTTCGAGCCGGAACGAAAATAACGCTAACCTGTGCGCTGCAGGTCGCCCATTGTCGATGGTCGATTGTCGAGCGGCAGCTTCTGTTTTTTTGGCCCGAGCCGCATCCTCGGCTATCGTCTGCTGCTGAGTAAACAGTCGGCCGGGTCCTGGTCCTGGTCCTGGACCTGGTCCATTTGTCGGAACTGAGCGCTAATTGCTAATTGTGTTGGATATATTTAGGGAAATTTTCAACATGCCGCTTGCAACTTCAAAGATCGGCGGCTACTTTCGGCCACAAAGGGGACACTTGAGTCGACCAGTCCGCCAGTCGGCCAGTTGCCCAGGTAAACCATCCAAGCGAAAGGGTTATCGGTCGGGAAACGAGTCGACGGAGTTTTCTTCTTTTTGCATATGCTTGTGACAAATGGAAATTATTTATTTTGTGTCTGCAGACATTGATTGAGCTCACGTCAGCCCCTTATGATAATGATGATGATGAAGATGAGATGCTGTTCGTCTGCGTAAATATGCAGGCCAAGTTTTTAGCACAGTTCCAGGAATTTTGAATCCTTTCGTCATATAACCAAACAGTTTGCTCAATGGTAACGATGCACAGTTTGGCCTGGCAAAAGGGTTACACATGGCCATAAATCGCAACTAGTTTCCCGTGAACAATTTTCGCACTATTTCGCAAAAGTCTGGGCCCAATAAAAACATAAACCGAAAACCCTTTAGGACCATAAAACGCAGTCCCATTTCGGTTTCCATGAACATTTTTCGCCACAAGGAAACCCGAAAGCTGGTAAAAACTTATCGCGAAATTACAAATGCACTCATTTCCATTTGTTTTTCCATTTACATTTTCCATTTACAAAATCAACGAGATAAGCGACTGTTTGTGAGTTTTGCCCAGCGATAATCGCAAATTGCCGAGGAAACAGTGCGATTTTGAGTTGGAGGCGTTCCTTTGTCTGTGGCAAGGTTAAAGACACCGCCAAGGCCGGGCCGGGCCGGGCCGGACCACGTCAAATATCAATTGTCAATACGGAATGCAATTCAATTGCTTTCACTATGCTCAAGTGTGGCCTGTACCTGCCGCTCATTAGATGGGCTCACAGCTTTATTGACTGCTGCTGCGGTTGGATTATGTGTGCATTTCCATGGGCTAATCTCACATAATGAGCGGTCTCATGGGATAACTTCATTCTGGTATGCCACAGCCACACTAGCGAAAATAGAGTCAAAAAGTCAGCCGAGTCAACATTGACGGCCAAAGAGGATAATCCGTTTAGGGATTTCTACAAGTCGATTGGCTCAACTCACACGAACCATGTGGCCGCAAATCTGTACAGTTTCCGGATATAGCCGAATCGCCAGTTCTTATCTCGAAAAGGAAAAAATAAATAAAACATGAAAACGCAAAATGCAACTGCAAGAAAAACTGAAACTTTCTCTGCGACTGCGGCTGACAACCAAGAAAAACGCTGATAAGATTAGAGAGAGGGAGAGAGAGAGAGAGAGACCCGGCACACGAACTCAACTAGCTCATAGACATTATGCCATAGATTATATGGTGCAAGTCAGCACAGTTCGACTTGGCTGCAACTTTTTTTTTATAACATTTCATACCCTACAAAATTGTCAGCCTATATTTAAAGACAAGCAAAAATGCTTGAAATGTTCAAGCATGTAAATCTGTATAAAAAGTGTATTTTGTGTTTGCCAACTTTTATCTGAGTCAAATCTTTATACACTTTGGTTAATCAAAGTTAGCTAGAAAAGGGTATTTCAAGTTCGGTATTTCGTTTTTCTTGTTGCTTGTCTTTCGTTATATTTAATTGTTGTTTTATCAGCAGGCCGCAGAGCAGGGGAAGTTGAATGCACTTGCGAACTAGTTTTGTTAGACCCGAAATTTGGCTGCAAGTCATTCGTAGTAGAAGAGTACATAAAAAATAGCTACTAAAATGCATAAAATACAAATCTTTACACGCCAAGGGAATGCCAAAATGCGGTTGACCTTAATTTCCCGGCCATGATTAATGAATCGAGAAACAAAGAACAACCAAAAAAGCAGCGCCAGTGGAGGAGGCGTCCACTGTGCCACAACGGCCGGAGAAATTAATGATGCACAATTGATATCAACAGCAGCAGCAGCAGCAGCAGCAACTCGCAATGGCAACAGTTGCAGGTACAGCAATTCTAACCACATATTGTTAAAATAAGCATAATTATGTAATTAAAATTGTTGAACTAAATGTGCAGCAAATGCCGCAAAAAGAAACTGATGCCATTCAGGCCATGCGGGTGCAAGCGAGAGCACAACAGTTGCACATGCGCCGCAGCTCGGCGACTGTTGCGGATGCTGCTTGTATGTATGTGTGTGTGTATGTGTCAGCGAATCGCAGCGCGTTGATTCTGCTGCAATTCCATGCGTAATCACACACATGCACACATACACACATGTGCATTTATTAATTAAAGGCAGCTTTATTTTAGCTCAGTTTAAATGACCATTTGTGACGTCATCAACATTAAGCGCCAAACAACACTTTTTAACCGTTACAACACTGCCAAGGCCAAGCGATTTGCATATAAATGGAAAAAAAAAATTGGGCATAGAAAACGGCCAACCCATATGCAAATTGCAAGCGACCCTTAAAAAAAGAAAAGTGCATTCAATGCATATTGATTACAGAAGGTTTCGCTGCACGTCTTAAGGCACAATCGAATTTGCATAACTTGAGCGAAATGCCAAATAAATTGTACAATTTCCAATTGCAGCTCTCCTCTTTTTTTTACCTACTAAACGTTTTATGCTCTTAGCAGATTGGCATTTATGGCTTGTATAATTAGCATTGGGATCTAAATAAACTTCAAATTTCAAAAAAAAAAAAAAAAATAACTGAAGCTGAGCCAAAGGCAAAAGGGTTTCTCATTCGGTTACGGGCTAACCAGTTTTTTTTTTTTTTTGCTGTCCAGCGCTTTACGCATACATTTATACATTTATACACAAAAAAACAACACTCACACACACGCTGACAACCTGCAGCCAGTTGGGCAACTTTAGGCAGTTGAAAAAATGCAGCCGCCACACTTTTTATTTGTCCAACATACGCCAAAAAGAGCACAAACTCAAATGCACACATGCACACATACACTCACACACATGGACAGGTTACTCTCTTGGGTGCCAATGGCAGCAGCAGCAGCAGCAGCAGCCGCCATATGCAAGACTCACCCACACAGAGACAAGCACACACACAGCGCAGCGCAAAAACGCACACAGTTGCAGACTGCAATAAAGACAGCGACGGCGAACGGCGAACAGCGACGTCGACTGCGGCGTCAGAGCGCACAGAGCGAGACAGCAAGAGGGTTGCCAGAGCCGTAGCACAGTTTTGCGGCTTTTCCTTTGCGTTATATGTGCGAGCACTTCCCCTGCGTGCGCCTGCCGCTGTGCGTGTGAGAGGTCTTCTTTTAATTTTGTTGTTGTTGTTGTTGTTTTTTGCTGCTTGTGTGTGCGTGAAAATGTGCGCGCTGTCTCGCTCGGGAAATTTTGTTTTCAATGACTTGCTGCATACGAGCGCCGTGGCAGTTTTATTCAAGTTTGAGCGCTCGAATCTGCAACAACGTGCCACGCAAAATTCAAAACGCAAATTCGTACGTGTCGCAGTTATTTTGGGCACTCCAAACAAAACACAACAAAAATTAGTTTAAAATAAAAAAAATAAAAATATTTAAAAAAAAAAAAACACAATACTTGGATAAACTGCACTTCGGATGGTTTTCGTGTCTCTGTGCGTGTGATTATCGCGATATTGTTAATTAGAAACTTATTAGCAACAAAAATACTGCAAATTTTCTTATTGACTGCTGACAGTTTCTAAGAACTAAAATCTAATCAAAATACCTAACGAAGTTCAACAAAAGTTTAATTTTTAAATACGCAACAAACTTGTCATTTTTTAAAACTGTGGGAATTTAAAACAATTTAGTGCCATTTGCAATTAAGTGTCAACTGCAGCTGCGAATTATTTGTACAATTTTGTGGTAAGATATATGATTTAAAAAAATTTTAATTTATGCACTTATATTTTGTTGTTGCAAATATTATTTGTATTTCTGTTATATTGCTTTTATAAAAAAAAAACTTAAATTAGGCACAACGTTTAGGCCTTAAATTCCGCAACTAAAACTTGGGGCTACGTGTAAAAAATTAACAAACAGCAGCAAAAAATATGTGTATATAAACACCAAAAGGGCACAAAAAATAAACTGGAAAATCCGAAACCGGTTTCCAAGTGCATTCGTTTCAATGACGTTCGGCTTATCATTTTAAATTGGAAGCAAACAAAATGGCGTTCGCTGTTAAAGCGCTGTTAACTAAAAGCTCGCAAAAGCTTTGCAGCCATTTGGCGATCGGCGGCGTATGCGCAACGCTACAGCCACAGTATAAGAGCTTGCGGCTGCAATATTCCATGCGAGGCGTTCATGCGATCCCATTTTGATCCCATTATGCCAGGCACGCAGCTACCTGCAGAGCATATCAATTGCTGTTGTTGCAGTTGTTGTTGTTGTCGTTGTCTCGGTTGCGCAAAAGGCAGTTGTTTAGGGATCGTTTGAGACTCGGCAGGTTGCGCGTTCTTGCTCATTATCCGCTTTGGACGGACAATAGAGCGAGCACAAAGGCGAGCTGCTTGCGCATTTTCCGCACTTCAAGCTGCAGACAATGCCGGTCGTTTATTTTTCCGCCTATTGTCTGTTTGACATTTCCCCCGTTGTTCGTTTGCCATTATCCTGGCAATTTTTATTTTATTTTTTTGAAATTAATTTCTCTGCGACGCACTGCGATCGAGCCTGAGTTGGGGGAAATGTGCGGAATTATTTACCTGTTGGCAACCTCAAGATTCCACGAACTCCATCAGAAGGTCGTCTTGTCTTATTGGCCGTAGTGCAACGCACGCGACACATGGCGTCGGCAGTCGCATGTCCAACATATGCTGCACATGGTCATAGGGCCAACATATGGTCACCACTTGAGCGGTGGCCCATGCCAAAAACCCAATTTTTAACGAGTTTCGAGCTGAAATACGAGCATTAGGACGGGGTTCCAGTTAGAGCTACAACCACTTCGCGGCTGCAACGCGCCTACAACAGGCAAACACGCGCGCACACACACACACACACACACACACACCCTCGCCCTTACCAAAGAATAACAGGAAAAACGAGCCAAGAATAAATACAACAACAACAAAAAAATGAATGAAAACTCAGCAAAGCAAATTATTGCAAGTTTTTCAGTTTCGTATTTTTTTTTTGTTTTTATGTGCGTGAGTGTGTCGCTGTGTGCGTCTCTGTGTGTGTGTGTGTGTGTGACGCTTTCCATTTTCCAGTTCGCATATAAAAAAAAATATGTAAAGTAAAACGCGCGAAAAGCAGCCGGAAAAATACGCGCACACGTTTTCCGAGGGATGTTTGCATATTTTCCCCCATTTTTTATCCGCGTATTTCTGTCACCCACCGACCCACCCACCCACCTACCGCACCGCACCGCCCCGGTTTCCATTTCCACCTCTCTTAATATTTCGTCCCGTTCTCCATTGGCAAAAGGCGCTTTCACTTTTTATGGCGCATAAAACTTGGCAGGGTGGCATTTGGGCATAAATTTAAAAAATACAACAAAAAAAAAACCGTAGATTTTCCGCCAAAAAGCAACGAAAAAAGAACTTTTGCAATGAAAATGGCTCAGGAAATTTAGGGCTGACTGGGAGGATGCTGAACATGGAGGATGCGTAACCATTCCCAAAATACACAATATTTTCGCACACCTGCCTGTATTGTCAGTGGTGTGAGTTGGGTGAGGGGGGTGAGTTGGATGAGGAGATTAGGCAGAGAGGTCTTTGGGCATATTCCATTCCCATTTCCATATCCAGTTCCATTGCCAATTTTCATTTTGATTATAGTAACCCATGCGAAATTCGCTTCAGGTTTTTTTTTTGGCATTTCCAAATATCTGTGCAAATCTTTAGGGGCATTAGGGAAATCTGTTCCTGAGCATAGAACTTGGCAGCTTTTTAATTGTAACGAAATCGCTTCACTCTCTCCTTCTCTCTTTCTCCCCGAACAACAGGCAACTGGTGAACCGTAAGCCTTAAGCTGGCGCTCAAGGTCAGAAAGCACCTCGCCTCATACTCGCCCACACTGCTGAGCGCCGCGTTCACCAGCCTGAACAGCGCCTATCACAGCAGCAGTGACACCGCACCGGACGAGGAGCCGGAGCCCAGCCTCAGCCCAGCGCACCGCCAGCGCCAACGCCAGCGTCAGAACAGCCACAGCCACAGCCACAGCCATAGCCAGAGGGATCGACACAGCGGCGACATGGGCGGGCCGACGCCAGTGGCCAGCAACGAGGGTCAGACGTATTGCTTGCGCTGGAACAATCATCAGACGAACCTGGTCCAGATACTGCACGCCCTGCACGAGGTGGGCAGCTATGTGGACTGCACATTGGTCGTCGACGATGAGCAGTTCAAGGCGCACCGCGTTGTCCTCGCGGCCAATTCGCCCTACTTTCAGTCCATACTCCAGGAGGTGCCGCAGGATCAGTGCAGCATCATACTGCCGGGCGTTAAGGGCTTCGAAATTGCCGCCCTGCTCCAGTACATGTACACGGGCGAGACGACAGTGACCAAGAGCCAGGAGCCAGAGATATTGCGCACCGCCAAGGAGCTGCAGGTGAAGGGCCTCTACGACAATCTCATGAAGTTCAATCACAAGGCATCCACTCCGACGGTCGACGACCGTTCACACAATCATCAGTTCCAGGGCAGCACATCCGGTTCACATCCGCATCCGCATTCGCATCCGCATCATCAGCATCCGCATCCGCATCAGCACTCTGCCCCTACCTCGAGCTGTTCCAGCAGCAAGCCCCTCAACGGCGCCGGTACTGATGGCTCCTATGGCACGCACCATCATGGCCAGCACAATTCCTCCTCCGTGATCTCAACGTCGACGCATATATCACCCAGTGCGGCCATCTCGAGCAGCTGCTCGCCGCCGCCGCCACCGTTTGGCTCGTATCAGACGCCCTACACGAGCTTTCCGGCCTCCAGCGGAGCACCTATCAACATCAACGCTCACATATCCGCTGGCGAGGCACCGCTGACGCCCACACACTCAACGCCCCATCCAGCTGCCGGCGAGGCTGGCCAATGGCCGCTCTCTCCGTCCGCCGCGGCGGCGGCAATGCTCAATTCGGTGTACGAGTCGGCGGCGGACATGAATCCGCTCAAGCGCAAGAAGCTCTCGGCCATTTCGAGCATGCTGTTGAACACCACACGGGACACGCCCATTCTGCGCAATGTGCTGGCCCAGGCCAACCCGCCGGACTCGTCGCAGCCCAATCCGCAGCAGTTGCTGCTGCCCGGCGTCAAGCAAGCCGCCGAGAAGACACCCACCCATCAGCATCAGCATCAGCTGGGCAGCGGCAGCGCTGCGGGCGCTAGCAGCCACAGCTTCAATGGGTCCGACTATGGCGGCGACAAGGAGCCGCTGTCGCCGCACACGGATCGCTCCTTTGACGAGGAGACAGGCGGCCAGGGTGGCAAGAAGCCGGAATGGAAGCGCTACAAGCAATACACCCGGGCGGACATGATGTGCGCCATTCAGTGTGTGCGCGAGGGCATGAGCGCCCTTCAGGCCAGCCGCAAGTTCGGTCTGCCGAGCCGCACGCTATACGACAAGGTGCGCAAGCTGAACATCACCACCGGCCGTGGCACCCATCGCACGCCCAAGCGCAGCCCACCTGGCGTGGGCGGCGTCGAGTCATCGGCCGCATTCCCCTATTCAGCCGCGGCGGCGGCAGCTGCGGCGGCTGCTCATAACTACGGCCAGACGGAGCTGGAGCGCGAGCAGAAGGAGCACGGACATGGCCAGGGCGCTGGGCATGCCCATGCTCATTCCGGGCATCATGGTATGCCGCCGACCATTCCGCATTCGGCTGCCGCCTTGCTGGATCACGCCTTCCTGCAGCAGGCGCTAGAGAATCGTGGCGGCGATATCGCTGGACGGGAGGCGTTGCACGCCATGGCCCTGGCGGCAGCCGCACACGCGGCAGCCAATCGGATGTCCAGCAGTCCGCCGGGCTCCAATGGGCATGCGGCCCGTTCGCCCAGCCACTATGCCGACCAGGAGGCGCTGGACAAGCACGAGCATCGTCTGATCAAGCGCGAGGCCATTGAGGAGGAGCGCGACGCTGACGACGAGGATGATCACGACCAAGTGGAGGATCTGTCGCTGGCACGCAAAGAGCGTCCCGAGTCGCCCTACTCGCCACCCCCGCCGCGCGCTGCCTCGCCCATGGAGAGTGCCAGCGTAATCATGCACTCCAACTCGGCATCGGTCTCAGCGAATGGCAAGGAAACTCATGAGCATGAGCTGCAGCCGGAACAGGAGCAGGACCAGGAACACGAGCTGGAGGACTATAGCGAAGCGGCATCACCAGCATCGCAGCCCCTGAGCATGGGCGTGGCTCTGAAGCGCGAGCTGCTCGGCAGCGATGAGGCACAGGCGCGCACCGATTGATTGATGCTAACGATGGCCTGGCAGTATGCGACCGATAGCCACGATTCCATATTCTAGGCCAATCTTCGACGCAACCAACCAACCAACCCACCAACCCACCCACAAATTTTACTTACCACACTTTGTGTATATCCCAATCGATTCATTTCTCTGGTTCGGCGTACAACGTGCAAACTTATTTGTTGTGTTCTCATCATCGACATGCCTCGGCAACGATTTAGCGGTAGTGAAGCTTTAATGACCCATTTTATCCCGGAATACCCACCCCGGCACCGACCCACCACAAGCAGGGCAAGAGACAAAAAAAAAGAAAGAAAGAAAGAAAAACAAAAACAAAAATCAAACATAAATATAAAACAAAAAATTGTTGTCAGCATCACTTTGTGCCTAAAAGAAATAGAATTATTCACATAAAAATAAATAGATTTAGACATATGTATATTGGCTAGTTTAGGCTTAGACTAGACTTACGAGCACCCACACAGACACACACACACACACACACACACACATAGGCTAGGCAGTGTTAGGCCATGGTAATGCTTATGTCGCATAAGACTGAAGAATAGTGGGCGTGGCAGAGCAAAAGAGGCTCAGTATATAGATTATATAGAGTATATATATATATATACATATATATATATATATATATATCGTTTCGTTAGGCATAGCATTTGAGAGTGGATCGTTACGTAGATCAGCAACAAGTTAGCAATACTTTGTACAACTATCTTAAAATGCCAGTGATTTGTTTTAAAAATTCTTAAACACTAGATAAAAACAAAACAGCTCTTTAGTTTATGTTTTGTTTAATTACTATATGAATATGATGGTATTTTGAGCTCCATTTACCTAAAACCGAACTACCTCAAAAAGCTCAAAAATCAATTGGTATATTTTACTAGTTAAAATCCTATACATATTCTTTTTTTTTTGTTAAATTTTAATCTAATCAAACAATTGTCCTGGGTTGAATTTTATAAGACTGACACCGACTCACACACACACACACACACACACACACATACGCACAACATTTAAACCCAACATACAAATCTAATGCGTACAAATTTAACTAAGCGAATTAATTAATTGTAAGCTTAATTGAAATGTAATTAGAATTTTAGTTTATAGTGCAAAAATTATGCAAAAATCAAACAAACATGCGCTGGGGGCAATGCAATAGGCTCTATATAAGTACACATAAGTATATGGAAAAAACTTATGCTTACACATACGATATATATAAATATATATATAGCTACAGCGTTAATTCATTTGTTATACAATTGTAGACTAAGCCTATCGATATGAGAAACAACAATCCCTGTGTACATAATATGCATAAATAATTGGATGCAAACCAAGTATTTTGCCGTTATAAAAGTTAGTGTTAATTGAAAATTTCTTAAATATTTGTAACTACAATTGCAATGTGCAAATCATAATTAAGGCAACATTTTCGGTATGAATGCAAAATAAAAATGACTGAAGATATATCTACACATATATAAATAAAATAATACACATTGATTCTATACAAATGAGATCGGAAGTCCGTATGTTAAGGGTTTAACAATGGTAAGCTAATATTTATTACAACATTTACAATTCGAATACAAAAATATATATATAAATATATATATATTCAGAAGAAGACTTTAGCTAGCAGTTTTTGCTTAGCACAGAAATAAATTGAATCATACTAATTTTATATACATGACACTATAAACAAGTACTATTAGTTTAAATGACCTTTGCTCGACGAGCAGATATCCTAGAACCAGTACTACTTCAGTCCTACTCAAATATATATACAATTATGCAGACTGTTAAATCGGACACACTCTCCCATCGGCTCTAGAGACAGCCCACGCAATTGGGCGGATTGCGATTGTCGAACTCGCAAATGCCAATGGCAAAACGGAAGGGTTTATGATTTGGCAAATGCCTGGGCCGATTCGATATCCACGGCATGTGAGGTATGTTCAGCACGCGCACCGTATACTGCGGTGCCTTGGCTGGTTCTTTGTGTACGGGATTGATAATGGACAGCTCGTGCTCTATGCGTATGAGGGGTGGCTCATCGTTGGGGCTGTGCCGCTCGTGCTCGCAGTGGGCCAACAGCTTGGCCTCGCTAAGAAATTCCAAGCGGCAATAGTTGCAGTAATAATTGATGCCCTTGCTGTGCAGCACCTGGTGGCGATCCAATTGATGCTGGAACTCAAACTCATCGTGACACTTGTGGCATATGTAAACGCCGCGGTTTTGCCGATGCAGATGATAGTCGAGGAAGACCCTGCAAGGTGTCTCAGCAAGTTAATTATGATAATAGTAAAATACACGTGTCAGTCAACTCACTTGCTGGTGAACACGTCGCCGCATTTGTGGCAGTAAAACCAGCTCATCTTCCAGTGTTGCATGTAGTCATGCTTCATTAGATTAACAAGCGTGTCCGTTTGATAGCAGCAGGCGGGCGCAAAGCATGAGAAAGCTTTCAGCTGTACCTGCGTTTTAAGCAGATCCAGCAAGTAGAGATCATACTCCTTATCTGTGGTTATATGAGACTCCTCCAGCACATAATCATCGTACAGCATGGTCAGATTTAGGGCGCTGTTGCTGTTGCTGCGACTGTGGTTAACTATCCAATCGCCGGTGAAGTTCATGCGCCTTGTGTACATCGTGTCGGCTATAGAAGTGGCATCTTCGTCGTCCTGCTGATCGTCATCTGTCTCCTCATCGCCCAGTTCACCATTATACCAGGCCAGCGAGCAGGCACGCGATCGCGATCGTGTAGATCGAGGCTGTGTGGGGGATTCTTGCATTTGCAAAGCCTAAGGTAGAGCGTTTTTAATTGAGTATAAATTCTAGAACACTTCTGCTTTAGAGTACTTGCCTCTTGCTTGGCACTGCATATGGTATGGTGCAGCTCCCACTCGTATTTCGTGCCAAATTCCGCCTCGCACAGACTGCAGCGATGCTGGTGGCTGATACGCTGGTGTTGCCGCAGGGCCACACTGCCAGCGAACTCCTTCTCACAGCTCGTGCATTGAAAAGTATGCGAGTGTCGGGGCAGAGCCTGATCCCCATTATCGTTCTCGACATCGTCTTCATCATTGCCGGCTTCATTGAGCACACGACACTTGGGGCGACGCTGCGTCTGGCGACGCCAACAACGGCGCACGTGCAGCGTATAGTGATCCTTGCGAGAGTAGGCGCGCTCACAATACTGGCACACCCGCCGTGTGCGCCACTTCCAGCCATCCAAAGCGTTGCCGCTGTTATTGCGCAGGCCACCGGACTCTGTGGCGGAGGGAGATTCTGGGGGTTGGGCTGAGTACGCCTGCAGCACTGAGCACGATGATGAAGTGGACGTAGGCGAAGCGGTTCTAACTGTCACTGTGCCATCCTCCTCCTGTGCCAATGGCACCCCTGTCGTAGATACCTCAGCATCGGCAATGGGCGGACTGTCGCATTGCCTACGCTCCACCGGCGTTCCAACCTGTGATTTCGCCGTGACGGTCAGACGCTGCAGCCGCTGCATCAGCGTGCGTGTTACCTCCGAGTGCATGTTCAGCTTGCAGACGCACTCTACGCATATGGCTCGCAGCGTTGTCTTGACTATGTCTGCCTGCAATTGTGCGATTATGAAGCGAAATGGGCGCTAGCTATCTCTGGCTGATGCCACTTACCGACAGCTTCCAATCGCGGCTTAGGCGTCGCTGCATCACACTGTTGCCCCTAAGGTCCAGCAGGGCGGATGACGATGATTTGCTACTGCCGCAAATAGTGCACAGTTTGGCGTTGACCTCTGGGGTATCCAGTTGCGTTGCGTTTGCCACCTTGCCGTTGCTGTTGCTACTTGACTCTGGCTCCGGAGCAGCCTGCATGTTGCAACTGGCATTCGATGCACTTTCAAGTTGTAAAACTGATTTTCTTAGACATAAACTACATGTGTGCCGTTTTACAAAGTTATGGTATACAGGCAGAGTTGCCAAACAGCCAACAATCTTGTTTATTTCCTATATTTATTATTATTATAATAATTTCTTTAGTTTTTTAGTTTAACACATTATTTTTCTTATTTTCTTGTCAGTATTAAGTGGACTGGTAATATATTATGTGCTTTTTCGCACTTTCTAACACTGAACATTTTCGATAGACGCATAACATCTCTGTTTCGCATATCTATGCAAGTTGTAAACAATTTCAATTAATTTAATTTGAAATGCTTGAAAATGGATATTATTTCTGCCGCTAATCTTTACTTACGTCAGATAGGCGAGCTGCGGCCAAGAATCTCGGATTTGAATCCCGGCATTTTTACAACAGGCGGACCAGAGCCCAGATCACTTGTTGAAATTTCTGGCAAGCGTAGGAGCGGCAAAACTCTACTTCTAATGCAGCTAGTGGCAAACTGTTTAACACGCTGTGATGTCATACTAATTAATATTAACCATAAAATTGATCTTCAGTTACTTGGAAAACTTTTGCAGGACGCGGTTAAAAATGCCAACCCAAAAGCAACATCCGTCGAATTGCAAGAGATCTGTGAGAAGTGTATGGATTCATTGGAAATTATGAATTGCTTTTCATCCCTGGATGTTCGCATGGCCATAAAAGCTCTAGATCATCATATTTTGCTTGATAACGAGAAAGCTAGCCTAATTGCCATTGACGGACTTTGCGAATTCTATTGGTTTGACTTGCCGCCAAATGTGCTCATGCGCAAATATATATACTATATGAAATTTGTGGAACGTATACACAGGATATCAAAGAGATTTTATGTTTGCTGCATGTACACAGTGGATAGCAGCTATCTAAAAAATTCATACGCACCTTCCAGAGCGATAAACATAGATCACAAGTTTCAATTGAACTGCTTTAAGAAGGGCAAACGAACGCTGAACAACAAAAGAATTGTCATCAACGAGAGCGGTATTCAGTATGTTGATTAATAAACCAATTTTGAAAAACCGCGCGTCTTATCATTTTGGCGTTAGGGCTGGGAGCAGTATCGATCATTTTCCTGCATGCAGCGACGCACTGGAAGCCGATTCTGATAGCTATCAAAATAGGCTAGATACTATCGGAATTTTTAATACTTGGTGTCATCTCTGGTTTTTCTGTTCGACGCGAAGAGAAAACGTGCTAGTTTTTTTCAGCAGCCCGATTTATTAGATAAATCAAACAAAAAAACGTAAAAATGGGTGTACAAGTTGTTCCAATTTCAGCCGGCGATGGTAAGCAAATAAATATTTATTTTATTGGATTTATGCTTTCCTAACCCTATTTTTGCGGCTATGATAAAAACGAAGTATTTTTCCGTTCTCTATATACATACATACATATATTTATCTCACTCTCACACGCCTTCGTATTGCAGGCAGTACCTTCCCCAAGAATGGCCAAAAGGTTTCGGTGCATTACACTGGCACTTTGGATGATGGAACCAAGGTATGTAAATGAATTAGCTGAAGCAGAAAATTGGAATCATATTCCACTTTCAAAATCTTAGTTTGATTCGTCGCGGGACCGCAACAAGCCGTTCAAGTTTACCATTGGCAAGGGCGAAGTTATTCGCGGCTGGGATGAGGGCGTTGCTCAACTGAGCGTTGGCCAACGAGCCAAGCTGATCTGCTCACCTGACTACGCCTACGGCAGCCGAGGCCATCCAGGTGTCATTCCCCCTAACGCTACCTTGACTTTCGATGTCGAATTGCTCAAGGTCGAATAAGTGGTCGGGTGCAGCAAACAGCCGAAGACTGTGCGTCTGTGTGTGTGTGTGTGAACACCTGCTACATACATACACATGCACATATACACATACAACCTGGCGCGCTCCGGCAGTGGCAACAGAACCAAACAAGAACAATCCAACAGCATTTTAATTCTATTCAAAATATAAAAGTGACCGCTATGGTCCATGAAATTAGACTTAATTACCAACACAGATAAATGAAAATGGCAAACGCATACAAATAAAGATTTATTCAAGTGAAATTCAGTTTTATTCACGCTTGCAAACGGCATCCATTATCTGGTCAATTATTTCATAGCGCTCATGCTCGTATTTCTGCGCATGCTTCAGCCAGTGGCTGCGAACCCGCTTCCAGTGGCTCACATTGTCCGCCAGCAGCTCATCTTTGCTGGCGCCTTGCAGTTTCGCGTCCTGGGTTTGCTGCAGGCGAGGCGGAATTATCGGCAAATCTGTTTTGCGTGCCTGTGGCATCTCCTTTAAGACTTTCAGTTCGCCGCTCAGCAGTTTCGCCAGAATCTCCTCCGCGTCGTCCTCACGTTTGACTGTTGGATTAGTACCATCTGTGTTATAAATGGCCACGGCTGGATTGCGCGGCTGGTTGGCCATCCAGGCGCGGCATATCGGGTAGAGCGGCGTCTTGTCCTTATACTTGGACAGGTCTAAGCTCCGCTCAAACAAACGCATCACGTAGGATTCGCTGTGGGATTTTTGTGCTGCATTATTGCCGTTTTTTTTGTAGAGCGAGCGCTTTGCTTTGGAACGCCCTGAACCAGTTGCTAGCGCAGCAGCTGCCGTTGTTGATGTCGATGTGGTTTTTAATTCTGGTTGTTGTTTAGCATTCAACTGGGCGCGCTGTTGCTGCTTTTGCAAGAGTAGCTTCTTGGAGGGACGTCCCCGTATCGGCAGCTCGGATTCAATGTCGTCGTCGATTTGCAGCATCGGTAGTGGAGCTTCTGATTCATCCTTTGGCACTTCTTTACGGGATTCCCGCGGACGCAGTGATGACTCCGCAGCAGCGCCGCGTATTTTCTTTGGCGTCACTTTCATGCCAATGCTTCCTTAATTATTTTTTATGATTCTTTCAAATTTTCAAATGTAAACGCAGTGAATGTCAAAAGCGTTAGTGATGGTCATTTGTAATAGTCCATTTATCGAAAGTTTCATCGATTCTGAATTAAGCAGCTGTGGGCTGTTAGGCTGCTGTTATTCATGCTTATGAGCATAGTTTCTTCTTGTAAAATTCAAATTCGTGTTACTCTTCTATCGAACAAGCAAGCGGCTATATAAATATTTGTAGTGCAATCATTTTGTATATTTCTTTAAAAAATTCATAAATAAATTAATAGCTGAGACAGAGTAACGGAAGCTGTTCAGTGTTGCGCTGTTAGTAATAACAGCACTGTAAATTTTAACATTTTCAACACAGGGTTTTTTTTGTTTTTTATTTTGTTGTTTTCTGGTGTCCAAGAAAAGCACGAATGATTGAGAGTTGCTTAAGATTCACGGGACGGAACGGTTGTTGCTTGTGGAGTGCGCAAAGCTCTTGTGCATGAAAAAGAATACATAAATTGAAATACAACTAATAGGAATGAATTGTTAATAAATTATTTAAAAAAGTCTGTTGTGATTTAATATAAGTGCTACAATTGTTAGTAAATAGACGTCAAGTCAAGTGATATTTCAGTTATATAAAAAAAAACGCAAAACTGTAACTTCACATTTACAGTAAGTTTGCATTATTGCAATGTATTTAGTTTGTTTTATCAGTTCGCTAGCTAGTTTTGTATGTGTATGTGTACCTTGGTCAGTCGTTGCATTTTGCGTCTTTCGCTCTGGTTTTGTTTGGTGCTCTAGAGTAAGCACAGTTCTCTCTCTGCACCACGCACTCACCAATACAGACAATTGTATGCCTCTCCACCTTGGTATATTACTGCGTCGTTGCTGTTGTATTCTCCACTTCTCCCCCACATATTCCCAAATTTACTTTCCTTTGCTATTTATATTAACGATTTACTGTTACAATGGCAATAACAGCATCGCTGCAGCCAGTATCATCAGGAAATCGGTGTGTAAGCAACAAAGAGAGAGAGAGAGAGTGCGCGAATTGTCTGAGAATGGGGTGAGGGCGGCACACATGTTGACAAGCGATGGCATATTTCATTTTCGACTCTATTTTAAAAAGTCTTAGAGTATGTACATGCATATGGCCTGTACCTATATAAAGCCCCGCTATCAGTGCCGCACAACAGTAAATTTGGGGAGACTTAAAGCGACAGCAGCAGCAGCGCATTTACCAATCTGGTCCGTCTTTCCGATCCACAGCCGAACAGCTGTGAATATCGTGCCCGTCGTGTTGTCTCGCAAGTTCGCTGAACTTCTTCACTACACCTATGTATGTTTGCATGTGTGTTCATATCAAATCAAACTATGTATATAAAACCAAATATTTTAAACAAGCACACAAACATATATAAACATATTTCATAGTATGTTTAACACATATATGCGTGCACATTTTTTTATGTGTTTACTCAAATTCACATAAGTATCTAACTTTGTTGATGTTTAGCAGACATGCGTTTAGAGTTGAGGATGGCGTAGCCGTTTAAACATTTTGACTCTCGTTGGCGCTCCGTGCGTTCAGTGCGAGTTCGAATCCCGCTCCGCCCGAGCTTGTTGGCTTCTTTGACGACAACTCACGTTACTTGGCCGTAACTACTCGGGCTACAGTAACTTTTTTTTATAACTTGCAAGGGGAAACATTTGAAAAAGAACGGTCTTGTATAAAGTTAAAATAATAGTCGACCTGCTGGGATATTATTTCTTTTCTCTATCATTATTATTATTTTTTCAATTGTATGCAGTTCAATGAATGGAGCGCGTGCAGCAGAGTGGGAGAGGCTGTACGCTATCTGATATAGTCAGCGTTTGAAAGTAACGACAACAGCGCTTGCTCTCTGCCTCCTCTCTCTATTTCTCTCTATTTTGATATCTCCTCGCTCTTGCTGTTTGTTTGTAGTGACGTAATTTGCAGGCATTGCAATCGAATTTCTTGTTTTGGTCTTATAAGAAAAGTATGCCTAAACTGGTTTTGAGAGCTTCAACTGCGCCGCACCAAAACAAACTAGGTATCTAGGTATGTGTGTATGTGTATATAAGTATTTGTATTTGTATATTTGCTCCTGAGCATTCGCAACTGAGACTGAGTGCGTAATTTCCGATATGGAGTAACAAACCATAGAAACATGTTGTAAACAAAGCAAAATCAAAACTTTTTTTTCGTATTATTATTATGGCAACGGCCTTGACACGGTTACAACATCCAGTAACAACAGAAGCAGCAAAAAAAACATAAACAAATGCGAATGCATGTAGTATTTAGCATATAAACGGGTTCGCGGCGCAACATCTGCTACTCGATGGACTTTTGGTCGCTTTCGAAATCGTTCTATTTATAAACGGGCCTCCACTTTGAAGGTTACACACAGGTGACATCATCTGCTAAGCGAAGCAGATGTAGGAGGGGTTAGATCTGAGCGGTAAATGCACTGAACTGCACTGCGCTTAACTTTCCCCCAAAAATCAACTCGACGGTCGCCCACCATAAAAGGTCGTGATCCGTTGTGGGCGTTGTGGGGAGAGCCCAAAAGTGGGTCAACTTGGTGTACACAAACAAAATATGTAGCCACGCAACCGAACCATCAAATGTCCACCGCTTGAATATTGCATGAATTAGAGATGGGCGAACCACATTTCAATCATTTCTGTTTCCAACTTGTTCCATTATTCAGCCCGAATTTTGTAACTTCTATGTTAATTTAAAATTTGATTTTAAGTCAAACTATATTTTATATTTTTACGCAGACATGTAGGGTTGGGTCGTGATTGTTCGTTTCACGAAAGACTTGATCTCTTTGTATATCCATGATATTTGTGTCTGTTTGTAGAATTTTGGGACGTGCTCCTGTTTGGAGAGAGACGCACAACCATGGGCCAAATTGTTGGATCCATGCAAAGCAATGTGGCGGAGGTGTTCGGCAGCCGACGGAAGCGCAGACGTAGCACAGACACGACTGCGTCCCAGGAGGAGCGCGAGCGGGCGCAACTGGACGCCAAATCGCCGAAAAAGTAAGAAGCTCCAGAAGATTACAGATATAGTCCACTAATCCACTGTGTTTCTTGTGCAGAAAAAAGCTGTTGACGACCACACAGTATATATACAATGCTCTGTTTAAGGAGCAGAAGAACTCGGATGTGGCTGTGATGGCTTTGGACAAGGTGTGGCATCTGCACAAGGTCTATCTTAGCCAGAGTCCCTACTTTTACAGCATGTTCAATGGTTCGTGGAAGGAGGCGCAACAAAATTTTGTGCACATTAAAATACTCGACGATCGGATCAATGCGGATAGCCTGGACGCAGTGTTTGGCTCCATGTACTCGGATGAAATAGAGATTGAAGTCAAAGATGTGATACCCGTTCTGGCTACCGCCACACTCTTTCATCTGGATGGCATCATCGACAAGTGCGCCGAAGTGATGGTGGATAGCATCAATGCAGAGACTGCCATTCAGTATTATGAGGCTGCCTGCCAGTACGGTGTGTTGAGCGTGAAGAAGTCCACCTTCCAGTGGTTCCAGATCAATCTACTTAGCATTTACAATAAGAATCCCAATCTGCTGCGGCACATATCCATTGATCTAATGACTTTGCTAACTGCCAGCCACGATCTGTACGTGATGCAAACAGAGTTCTCGCTGTACACACTCCTGCGCACCTGGATGTTTCTACAGCTGCATCCTCAATACGATCCAGATGATCCTGTGCAGCGCGCTGAGGCACAAAAGACCCAGGAACGACTGGTGAATGCCGGCGTGGAGACGCACACTCCCAGCGTGGATGTTGTTCAGTGGACGTACTTTGCTAGCCGCATGGAGGAGCGCTCCTTTCTGGCTACGCCCGAGGGTCAGGCATATGTGCCCGTATTCCAGAAACTGCGCACTCAGTACCTGACCAATCACTATATGGATCTGAAGATTATATTCAACGACAACATCATTCCCAAGGAGTGGCTCTACAGGCACATACACAGCCACTGGGATGCCCTGCTGCGCATCGATCACGGCCAGGAGGATGGGTAAGTGACAGTAAACAATTTTTATTTCGAAATGTGAGTCCAATTACGTGTACACAATAAAACAGGAGTCCGCAGCAGCTGGACAAGGAGCAGTTTTTCGAGAACTGTATGCGCTGTGGTCGTTTGCTGCTCGAGCCTGGGTATCAGAAGTGGCGCTGGACGGGCTTCAACTATGGAATGGATCTCATACTCATTATGGACTCGCGGCGGCTGAACATACGACGTCACCATCGGCACGAGCACGAGCGGGTGCTCAGCTTGCAGACGAAACGAAAGTTTATGATTCGCACCACGGTCACATCGATTAATGCGCAGCGCCAGCCGGTGTTTACCCAGACGTCGGAGATCACAACGCTCAGCCTGGAGAAGAACGAGGAGGTGTCGCTGATGGTGCTTGACCCAAAGCTGGTGCATCCGCTGCTCATATCTATTAACATGCTGGTCGTGATGCCGCCCAATCAGAGCTTCAAGGAGATTGTGCCACAGAGCGAGGACTCGTCGCTGTCGGCAACCGCCATACCTATCTCAGAGATTGGGGCCAGCTGCGAGCGCTCCTTGACGCCAGCCAGCGCCGATGATTCAGCTGTTTGTGTGAGTGGCGATTCGGAGGCATCGACGCCGTCCTCGCCGTCCATGGGACTTCGACCAGCTGGACGCTTCAGTTGGCCGCGCGATAATGCGGCCAGGACTAGCGACGGCGAGTCCTTATGTCGTGACGTGGCGTGTTGAGCGCGTTGCACACTCTCCCCTTCCAAGTCCTCCCCACATTAGGCACAACCACCTCGTTCTGTTCAAGGACTCGTCACACGAGCCTCGTTTTATATAGTTGTACATTCGTTTCCCGTTGGCTACGACTAGCGTGCTACACATACATATATATATATGTATATATATATATATATTATACTATATATACATATAGTTAATCATTCTACTAACGGTACGCCATATAATTGTATATTATCCTTTAGTGTGCTTTATGCGCCCTTCTAT